AGAGTTGCTTATTCCTAACAAACTAGATTATATAACATAATATAAATTATCACTAAATTTCCTGTACATTTACTACAAAGCTGTTTTAAAGCATTATCAGTAGTCTTCTGTACACCAAAGTATCAAATTAAGTTTAGATTTTTGCTTTGTTCATATCTCATTTCTTTGCATAAGCCCATGTTTGCTTTCCATATCGATAATACAACTACAGTCTCTAAAATCAAATAAGATACAATAAGGGAAGATACATACTGGCAAGATAGGCTCTTGCTGTATCTTTCTGATAAATACTCTACGGGGCATTCTGCTGTGGACTTGCAGGAAACAGTCTAAATTATGCTTTATTAAACATAGGACAACCTGATTCAACACTTCAAAGTGAATCTGGCTTCCAAAGGTGCAAGAACAAAATCTGGCCTCAAGCTATCACATTCATTATAATTATTGGCTAGAAAGTGACTTTCACAAATATTGGTATATATTCTAAACTCTGAAACTCAACAGATAACTCTGCTATCTAACGTGAAAAGCAACAGCAATACCATGAGAGTCAAAGGCTGACGGATACTCTAACTAAAAGGGCATCTTCTCTGGCCAGGGGCGGGTAGGAAGAGTCCCGTCTTCCCATACCCCAATGTCTCTCCCTGCTCCATGAAGGGGATAAAGTAAGGCAGTACAAAACCCTTCTTATACCTGCATGTCTGATCTCAAGATCCTTTGATTCAGTGCAAGGTTTTAAGGGAATGTCCTCCTCTGTGCAGTTGCCCTGACACACCAAGAATTTAGTAGGAAGTTTTTAGGAAAGATTGTTAAGCCTATCAGAGACATAATTTCTTCACCTCAGTTGATAAAAGTTCTCCCTTTAGAGTTGTCTCATCCTTGCATAGTGCTGGGAAGTGTGATAGTTCTTCTCTGGCCGCCGTTTTTGGATTCTAGCTCAAAATCATGCCTTCCTACCCACGATACCTGACTGCAAGAGTACTCTAGATATGCCAGAAAAAGGAGCCTGAAGCAAGCACTCAGTAGGAGGCCCTATGGGCGCTTTGATGCCCTGCCATTGTGGATGAACCGAATATTATTGTTAGAGTATTTGCTTTTTGAGTTAATGAATATATTTTACCTGGCATTTTAAATAATTTGAATAGCAAAATAACCTAACAACAATTTGTAAGCGCAGTTGTTCTATATATACACAGAACATAGGCATGCTAGCAATACATCATATATAATGGTATTTATAATACTGTTTTTGGCTTCTCTCCGTCACTAAGAAATCCCTCCAAGTAAACAAGTGCACTGGTATCATTTCCCTGGCTAGTGTGCCATGCAAAGTAGACACAGTTAGAGAAGCTCTAACTCCACTAAAGCTTGGCTTTTTACCAAGCTCAGGAAGTGAAATCAATGGTAAAATGCACAGGGTAGCAACAAGCACTGCTGGGTAGGCGGGACCAGCTTTATACCCTCTGCCTTAGGAAAATTTCTGTTTTTCAGGCAATGGCTTATAATCACCCTTCCCTGAAATTAGAGGTAAAACTAGGAGTATAAAATCTTATTCTGCACTCCCCCTGCCCCCCCCACCCGTCTTCATTGAGTAAAGAAAGAGTCATTGGTTTTTAAACTGTTTTTAAGCATTGGCTCCTAGGGCTATAAAAATCAATACACTTGATGCAAGTACTGGATGCAAGGTTGCTACTGAATTTCTCTGTGAAATGTAGCATGGTTGTGTTTCCAATTTATGAAAGTTCTTCTTTTCTACTGCATTAATGAGTACATTATCATTTGGCTACCTTGAGATGTTCCTGTAAAGTGAAAGAGCACAAGCAGAAGGAGAGATATGCTTGAAGAACAAGAAATGTCTATTGAACCCTGCGTTTAGATGCGTTGTGAATAGCCAATTTAAACGTTTCAGCAAGTCGCAAAAAGAGTTCAAACTCAGATGTGGGATAACGGGGCTAGATCTCATGGGTCATGGTACGACTCCTTAAGCTCCGTGAATTAGATACTGACTTCTAACTTGAGCAATGAGGTAGCATCTTCAATGATTTATTTTTCTTACTCTTTTTTTAATCCCTACAAATGTGAGCTTGAGCTTAATCATCAGGACAGGTGCTTCCTCTTTACTTTGAGAAGAAGGATAATTTAGATTCCCTAGCCCAAGGCTAACAAAAGTAACTAGTGATTTTGAGTACCCTAAACTATGTGATGGGTAAGCAGATGCCTGCAGGAATTCAGAGCTCCTTAAGACACTGCAAAATGAAGTTCCAGCAAAGGAGGCATCCAAAATCCTGGCTGGTTTGAAACTCTTGATCTTTATTTGGCATTGTTAGCAATACAGTAAATTGCAACTTATTCAAGTGACACAACATACAGCTGAACTGTGGGCCTCCTTGCCACAGGAAATACACATTCATTCATTGCTGAATGTTTATGTGGAATCAAAAGCGACCGGAAAAATTCATGGAAGTAAACAGTAAGAGGGCTATTAAACATAAAAACTTCTGTCTCAGGAATTCCCTGATCTGCAGATTACTGGAAACTGGGAGAACAGCAAAGCGTCATTACGTTTGGCCCGCTCTCACTGTCTTCCCCAGGCATTTGTTACTGATCACTGTTGGATCCAGGATGCACTAGACTCACTTTTAGTCTGATTCAGTACAGCTGCTCCCACACTCCTGCACTATGTTAGCCATACATGTAGACAAAGATCAGCCCTAATTCATTTTGCTTACCTATGATTTCATAGTGATGGACACACAAGTCCTAACAAATGAATATGGATTCATAAAGAAAATTTCTTTTATACTCTGCCCATGTTTTATATGCACATGGATTTTTCAGCTGTGTCTCAGTAATCACAAGAAATTAGAAAGCTGCTTTACTGACGATAGGGGTCAGGAAGTGAGTTGAAGAGTTGTTAGAGCTGAGCATAATACAGATTAGACTTGAATGAACCTTCAAAAACAGTTCAGTTAGGGAACCTACAATCCAAAGCCAATGAAGGTAATGGTGAAGAGAAGTTGGAACCTATCCAGCGCTACTTTACTTTTCAAAATGACTTTACTTTTCAAAATGATTGAAGTCAGACAAGAAAAGAACAAACAGAAGAAACTTCAGCAATCCATTTATACAAAAAGTGCTTCACTCCTTCAAATCTCTCCATCTGCACATACAAGTCATCTCACAGCAGTTAAATCATGCAGCCTAGACCTCTTTGAAAACAGAAAACTTTAAGGATATGTAGTCCCTCTGCTTCTAAAGGTTAGCTTCCCTGTTGCTCATGCACTTATAAAATGCTGGAAATACGTGGAGGATAGATTTTTTTTTTTTTTAAGATGACTTCTACCGTGATCCAGAAGTTCTTTAAAATGTCTGTGTGAAGTAAAAAACAGAGATTGATCTTATCTTCTGTGAGAAGGTGTAATTAAAGGGACAGGTCCTCATCAGAAGCACTTCTTGTACTTTGGCACTGCTCACCACTGTTGGTGCCAGCCACTCCCAACAGTGGCACTAAGAGAGACAAAGTGATGATATCTTCCCATCTTTCCATGCCAGAGACCTTTGCGCTAGCCAGAACGAACAGCATGAATCCTGCATCCTCTACACACTGCGGAGTTTTGTGACAGGTTGAGTCATACTAAACACCCTGTGAAACACCTCACAGGACTAATATTCAGCACCACCCTCTGATGCAGACCTGCATCTTCAAAGAACAATCAAGCTCTTTGTTTGCAGAAATGCCATCCGTACACAGAATCAAAATTAAATACAAGGTCACATCTGAAAACCTGACAAACTGTCTTAAAATCTTTTGCTGTTCTGGAATGTGGATGACAGCATGTTGCCCATATACTCCTTTCTACACAGTCCTCTTACAAATTAGAAATGGATTCTAGGCTTTTAATAACAGTAAATAAGATACACATGAAATGCTCCAAAACCTGATCTTTCAAGATCTTTCTTTCCATCATTCCTATTAAACATAAAAAGGACACATATGTACTTGTGAAACTGCTAACATTTCAGTTCAGATATAAACCTGAGACACAGGTATTCTCAGGAAATCAATTCTAGAAGGAAATAACAGTCTATGGCTAGGTTCATATTATTAAATAAATATTTGTAATAATGCGGAGGTGACTTATAGTCCTTACTCATCAAGTAAAAGCATAGGTGAAGTATTTTTTTCTAAAGGTTTGTGTATAATGAGGAACTGAGATTGCAAAGCAGGTGCAGGTTGTGCTTATCCAGACAAGCAAAGGCTTGATAATACTTGATATGATTTGCTCAATCATACCACCCATAGGTTTGATGTTTTCACCGGCAGATCACTTGACACAAAATACCTCCCAAGTTTTTGGAGGAAATGTAACTGCTGACACAGATTCTGTCCCCTGACACCCAGCATTACATCATAGGTAAGACTATCTCAAACATTAAGAAAGCCTTCCAACACACAATCAAATCCGAGTGTAATAAATGGAGGTGTAGCACAAGGAATCACAACTGAATTTACTCAAAGACAGGGGAACAGACTCCAAAGTTTCAATCTACCTACTTTATAAAAGAGAGATTAAGGTGGGATTGTACATATTTACATGCTATCACAATCTAGAAGCATAGTTCAGTCCTCCTTATCTCCCATTACTAACCTCACGTCTGTACAGTAGTTTGAAGATAAGAAGTGCTATGTAAGTGCTAAGTATTTGACCCGTCACCTGTCACCAGAAACTGACTGAATCTGTTATATGGAATCAAATACTCTTTTCATTATCCTGAAAAATAGAAAACCTTCTCAGCCAGGAAGGCAGGGCTGGCTCATTCAACTCAAGGTCATCGCAGGAGTTTCAATTACATCTTCACTTTGACTCAGAGACAGAACTGAAAGCTGACAGTCAATGAACCAAAGCATGACACTATGCTGAGCAAATCAAGCACTGAATTAATCAGCACACGACCATTCGGTTTATTGTTGTTTTCTGATTTGGTTAATTTTCTCTTACCTGAAAGTGAGGAGCCCAAGCGCCTCCAGAGGGTTAGAAAATCTCCACCTCCTCAACACAGCATACGTTTCTGACACAGTTGTTCGATCCCAACTGGGTGCACTGCCCAGTACCAAAGGTAGGGAGCAATTTTGATTATTGCAGTAGTAACGATAAAACCATAATACTCTTCTATTTTGCTCTGAGAGTCTGAAAGAGAAGATTAGAAATTCAGTTTGAAATTAAAATCACTTGGAACTTTGTGTAGCAACAAACTTTATTGTACAGAGGGGCCAAGCCATACAGTACACAGTTTTTCAGCTAAGTACTTGTTTTCCTTGGGGTATCATTTTCTGCAGATCAGCTCTTATAAGAAAAGTGGTACTTATACTCTGGATCTGTCAGCCTTGGGTTATATAAAAATGAACTGTCAAAAGACACACACGTATGGTTATTTCACTTCCCAAGCACTCTCATTTTTCTCCTCCTCTGTCTTTGTTGTTTCTGTTTGGTTGTTCGTACTGGGGCTTTCCGACAGAGAAAAAGAAACAGACAAGGTGCAGTTCTTACTGGATCAATTATTGTTACATCCATCTACTACGTACCATCTCTAATTAACTACTAGACACAGAACACTACTAACCGTAGCTTTCATTCCTGCCCTTGCTTTCACTATTTAGCGTAGTGTGTCTATTTTTGTGGTATTTGCATTTAACATGGGGTTTAGGCGCATACATGCATAAGCACACAGGCACACTCACACAGAGTGATTTCCCTAGCATTTGTACGAATTTGAAGAGAAGGAAAGCTCACAGCAGCTTCTCCTTCTGCAAAGTCTAGCATACCATGCTTCACTGTACTTACTTACAGTAAGGATGCAATACTGACTTCCTCACTGAGATACTAAATGGCTGAATGACATACTGATAAAATGCTTCATCATTACTCCATATTTCATCATAGAGAAAAATACCTCAGAATAATTCTTGCTATATATGTCCTCATTTGTCAACAATTCAGATGTCTGTGCCTTGTCTATATTAAGTCCTACATTTCAGTATCATCAGAATACAGAAAAAGAAATTCCCTATGAAAGAAAAGTTCTGACAGTCTTAATTTGATATCAGAGCCTTCAAAAGCAAACTCTGAGAGCGCAAAGTCAGCTCCAGTTGACACAAATCATTATTGAAGCCAAGAGGAACACGGGCTTTTTTGGTCCTACTGGACTAGATATGCGATCCGTCTACTTAGTTTGATTTCTTAACTGTGACATTAAGCAGACCTAGATATTTCAGAACAAGGTATAAGAAATGTTGGGGAAGGCAGCGAGTTTCCAGACAGTTTGTTTCCAGACAAGTGTTTCATTATCTGGAAGCATAAGCAGGGACTGAAAATCCAAATGTGTGCATCCCTTCCAAAGTTTTCCTCCTTCTTGGGGTGTTCTTAGCCAAAGAAGCATCTTATCCCTTCTCGAGTTCTGTCAAGATTCTGGCTTTCATACCTCACAGTAATGAGTTTCATCAGCTATACAGGCACTGGAGAACTTTTCTTTGCAATTTTGAATTGCCAGGCACTCAGGAACAGAGACTGGCTGCACAGAGATGGATATGTTTATTTTTTTTTTTACCATCACAAGAGTGAATGTTTATTCCTTTCCACTAGGAGAATAAGCTCATAAATGTATGCAGTAGAAGAATCTATCTATGATACAAATTCCATCATGACTTTTAGTAATCGTTTTAAGAAAGGTATCCTACTTGTGGTGTCAGAATTCACAGCATGTCTTTTGGGACAATAGATACACCTCTGTGTTTGTGTGAAGCAGAATTTACAAGCAGAAGAAAAGAGATAAGGTTAGGCCTCAGTCTATCACCTCTCTGTCCTGTTTTCCTTTGCATTCAGGTGGTAAAAACAGCAGGACAGTTCAGTTAAATGACACCTTTTATATGTTGACTTTAAATAGAGATTTTTAAGCTTTCAGACAGCATCTTCCACACTAGTCAATCTGTTGTTCAGATTAAAGCAGCTAAAGCCTCCACTGAGTTTACAAAAGGAGATAAGAAATCAATCTTTGCATCAGGTTTTCTAAATCACAGGTTTCTCCTCCCCTATTTCACTCTAGAGACAATGCTGTCTTCTCTTTCCATTCGTGTTCTACAGGAACTTTCATTAACATATTTTAAAGACCTGAAATGAAATTAAGGGTTTTTTTTGAGATTTTCATTTTAATTTCTCAGTTGTAATGAAAGTTTACATACACATATGATAAGACGTTTAAGATAGGTGGTAAAAGTATTTTGCATATATATAGCATGAGAAGATTGTTATGCAAATAAGGACATTTCTTTGCTCCAACAGGGAGAGGGTGCTAATAAACTATTTTTTATTGATGAAAAAGCGGTTTATGTTTTTTTAGGTCAAGCTATTTCTGACTTTTCTTCCATGAAATAACTACATTAAAATATCTATCTTTCTACTCAAGACAAATAGGGGAAAAATTCTTATAAAAACTTAAATAATTCAGTAGTTTTCATTTCAATAATTTTCATTAATAGCTTTAGCTCAAGAAGGGAAAGAGCTTTTGCGAAAGTGTTGCTAGATGGTCTTAATTTGTATTTTGTGGAGGAAATTGTAAAAAATGAGTTTAAATGCTTCCGAGCTGTTTTTGTTGTTCAAATTCAATCAATAAAACAGAACAACACAAAAGGAGATAAGACAGAAAAGTACAGCTAGCAAATGCAAATTTCTGTCCCCAGCAATGATTCTCACTTGCAAGTTTCTCTCCTATAGACAGACCATCAGATTGCAGTTTCACTGCCCTTTTTAAGACCTGGCAGACCTCTTCCACTATCCACCACATAGCCTGTAAGTAGCCTTTCTAATCAGAATTCATAGCCAAGGCACTCTTTTGATGACTGGTAGACAGACTAGGTTGTAACTAGGTAAGTGGCAAAAAGAAAAAGGAAAATAGGAAGCTGAAAGAGAAGAAAAAGTAAGGTTGAAAGAAAATGATGAAGGAAGGAAGGCAACCTGGCAAAAACAAGACTGTCATCTTCCTGCCTTCAAATCAGTCTCTGATCCTTCCACTGGGAGCCACTGTGCACAATCAGGCGGCATCGTGTTCAAAGCAGCCATTATTTCAGATGGCTGGTTTTCTGTGGTTTTGTATTTCAAACATAGTAATCCTAAAAGGAATCAAAGGCTTATATCTCAATTGTTTTCAGAAGTCAGCCAAAGCTGCTGGCAGTGACTAATGAACTCTCTTGGTCCTCCCTCTCTCGTCTGGTTTGGTTAGGAAGCCAAAGACCATGTAGCAGTGCACAGCATAGGACTGCAGTAGTGCAATAGCCATATGGTGAAGCGCGCTTTCCTCCAGCCCCACTGATCCCTCCAGTGACCTGTCACTAAACAACAACCAAGTCCATGGGGACCCTTGATCTAAGCCAGCTACCAGAGACACGGGGTCTCACAGGCAGCTGCTGGAGAGACCATATGTTTGGTCCAGCTACTGAAAAGACTCATGTCTCTGTAGCGAGAAGAGGTCCAAGTGCCAGCAACTGGAGTGTGGCCGATGCATATGGGGGACTTATATGTCTGGGTGCCAGCAACTGGGGAGAGCAGGGAGATCTGAGACCAGCTACTGCATAGACACCAGCTGCTGGAGCGATCAGCATTTTGAGAATTGATACAGATACGTATGTATACATATTCATATGATGTACGCATGTGTATGTGGCACTGGGGGACTTTAATCTTGACCAGCCAGAGAGAAGGAACAGACTTGGTCTATCAGTGCTATTTATGTTTGGAGGAGTGCTGTGTGCTTATGCAGGGGCTGATAGGGGACTGCTTTCTGTCTGTGTTGACCTGCTGTCTGTGGCTGGCTGTTTGTGTGCGCCTACTGGGAATATGTGCTCTGCCTTGCCAATGGCTGGACCTGGGCACACGGAGCCACAGCAGCCTTGCATCCATCAGGCTACTGGATTCAGCAGCCTCTAACAAGGACAGCCACAGGCTGGCTAATTTTAACCATTATTTCTTCTTTTTCTGCAATAAGGTTAATAGCATTTTCTGCCCATTTACATGTTCACTCTGCTTTCAGAAGGACCACTACAGCCTGAGAGAGCGTTCTTGCATCTTTGAACCACAGACATTCATTTATTTTCAAATCATACTTGAGGCTTGTAGGCTTGAAGTATCATATTGCCACTGAATGAACGCCTAGATTCCTCTCTTCCCTTTGACATACTAAAACAAGGCAGGAAGACAACTGGAAATTTCATAGCAATAATGCGCTTGGATACAAAGATATTACTATAGGTTTAATAAACTTGTTATGTCTAAAGAAGGTAAAATAAAGAAAGCCTACTTTGCCTCTGATATAGATAGAGCAAAAATCACAGACCAGTAGATTCTGCCTGATCAGAAATTGGTTAATAAAAGTGGATTTCCTTCACTCTAACCTCAAATATGCCATCCTTCACCTTGATGAATTATTTGGTTGACCAGCTTGCTCATGAGATGGGATAACTGAAAACTACAAGCTGTGGAAAAAAGCCAGGACTATCTTTTTTCCTTCAAGAATCCTCAGCTATGGAAGCCTTAGTAGCAGCCACAGTCATCTCTGATCTGCAAACTTCCCAGTTGCTGAAAAAAGTATTAATGACTCCTGCAAGTACTACCACCTTGAATGAATTTCTAAATAATTCATAGAATAATAAAGCATGCTGTATGGTACAGTGGAAGACTCTATAACAGCAACTCCTGCAAAGGGATGTGAGTGAAGAAAGCCACAGACGTCTGCATAAATATGATGGAGGGGAAAGCCAGAAAAAAAACCCACATTTCAGAATGACACTATTAATTCTAGGAATCATCACAAATGGTCATGATCTCATTCGTTTCCTTTAAAAACCTGAATGTGCTGTTGCAGACTGGACCTGTCATGCCCAGGGTGCTGCCCCCAACGCTCGCAACAGAGATCTTAGGGAAAAGGGAAAGCATGGGTGCCTGGCCACTTTCTGTGGTCTCTTGCCCTCATATTTGCCCAGAATCCAAAACTGTATTAGGGGTGCTACAGGATCTGTCTGTGCCTGACCCTGGTAGTATCCATTTACAGACCTGCTGTCCATGAATTTGTGTATAGCCTTCATGAATGTGATGCTGTCATCTGCCTCCACAACTCTCTGTGTCAGCAAGTTTTAGAGGTTCACCCCTGACTGTCTAAAGAATACATTTCTTGCATCTGTTGCAAGCTGATCTCCTACTTGCTTCATTAAGTGTCCCTAGTTCTAACACTGTGGAATTTGATGAACTGCAATTCTGCACTCACCTTATCTGGCACCTCCATAATTTTGTAAACCTCAGTCAAATTCTGGCCTTCTTGTCTCAAAACCGAAAAGTCTCAGCCTTTTTGTTCTTTCCTAGTAAGGCAGCTGCTTCATCCCCTTAATCATTTTAGTTGCCCTTCTCTGTACCTTTTCCAGCACTGCTGTTTCCTTCCTGAGTTGTGGAGACCAGAACTATGTAGCACGTTCCAAAAACAGCATGCCAAGGTTTTAGATAGCAACAAAATTACACTATCTATCTGGCTTGCTCTCAGCACCTTTCCTGATGATACTCCACATTTGGTTGGCTTTTTTGGCTGCTTGCTACACATTGCAGTCATGATTTCAGGGAAGTGTCAACAATAATACCAAGACCTGAGCTGTAACAGCCAGTTCTGAGTTCAGTATCATGTAGAGATGGCATAGATGACTTTCCTTAGATATAGTCCCTGAAAATATTATCCACAGTGAAGCTCATCTGCCATTTTTTTGCCTGCTCAGTTCTGTGAGGTCCCTCTGGAGTTCCCCTCCACTGACACAGTATTCACCTATCTGGCAGAGCTTAGTATCCCCTACAAACCTGGAGATTTCACTGCACCCTTCCTTCAAACAGGTCATCGATGAAGATACTGAATAAAACTGGTCCCAACACTGAGCACTGAGGGACCCTACTGCTGACCCATTTCCATTCTGAAAAGCTACCATTAAACATCCAACCTTTGCCTTTAACCAGCTTTTCTCTAAACCCAAGGAAACCCTGCTTCTTTAACAATATTTGATGTGGAACTTCACCAGAGCTTTTTGAGAGTTCAAATGTACTCTGCCCACCGAACCCCCAATGTCTGTGTGACGGCCTTCTACAACTGCAACAGGTTTGGGAGTCAAGATTTCTGCTCACAGATGCCACACTGGCTCCTTAGTGACAATTTCTCCATGCTTACCCCAATGCTTAATGATCTTGCTCCTTGTTACAGAACCAACCATTTTGCCATGGATAGAGGTAAGACTCATTGGCCTTAAGTTCCTAAAATCACTTCTGGAGCCCCTTTTGCAGGTGGGAGTTGGGCTGGAAACTTGCCAGTGCTCTGGCACAGTGGCTATTTGCAACAAAATACTGACTTCTTAAATTAATTCTTAAAAATAAAATAAAAAAGAACCAAATCTCAGATACTATGGTTAATAACAAATCATTTTAAATTTCATTCTGCTTTTTCAAAAGCTGAACATTAAATACCCTAAATTTTTTTTCTCTTTTATAAAGGAATCACTTTTTTTCCTAAAAAATCAGAAATTAGCCCCGAAAAATCTTCTTTACATTCATCGTATCACACTGGGAGAGCTGAAGCGGCTTTAAGATATTTAGTTCTTGGACAACTAATGCATCTTTTGGTCTTTGATCACAGATTAATTAACACAATTAACTGTAACTGGCATAAGAGTGCTCTGTAAGCACATATGTTCCCAGTTCCACTGTACTTACATCTGAAATTGTTTTTTTATATAGGAAATAATGCTACTTGATAAGGTAACCTACACATATCTGGGGTTACTAATCTGCCTTAGTATACACAGTGTGTTTTTGTTTCACTTTGTGTTCATATGCCTTCTATGAAAGCGAAATTTTGTATATCCTTTCCTTGTTTATACAGGAATTTGACAAAGATTGCCAAATTCCTGATGATGATTGTATGCTATTTAGCTACTGTGGCTTACTATTACTAAGGGATGCTGATTTTCATAGAACTCCAAGGTTTTATTGCTAATATTGATACAGACTTACTGTTGAAAATTGCATCACCTGAAAACCTTGTTTTGGTTTCTTGTTTCAAGGACGTGAAAAGATAAAAGAATAGAAAGGGAAAAAAACCAATCCTTTTCTAAATCAGTAAAACACAGTGCCACCTCCAAGGGCTTATTTAGGCTTCACTGTGATCTCTCCTCTTATTTACAGGTGTTACTTCCTCAAATGAACCATGACAGTCTCCTTCAGAGGAAAACTTCATTTTTAAAGAACGAAATACACCTAACTGTGATCGATAGTGTAAGCACAGCAAGCCAAGAGTCAACAGGGCCATGTGAGTACAACTTACAGCAAGAGAGAATGTGTCTGTGAAAGTCTTGCAATAGGCTTCAGGCACTCCTCTGCTGGCTCTTCAAGATCATCTCTTTTCTCTTCAGGTTCAGGTTTAATGAACTCCAAATTACTTTCTGGAAAGTCAATCTTAACAGCAAAAAAAATAAAATAAGGAGAGAGAGAGAGGGGGAGGGAGGGAGGGAGGTATCCTTTTAGCAATATATTTTCTCAAATACAATTATTAATAAAAGTTATCTTGGACTTGTACAGGAAGCATACAAAACAGGTGAGAAAGAAAAGAGAATAATTCTCTGAGAACGTTCACTGCATGTAATACACATTACGTAAATACATTGGTGATAAACCTGACCCGCCAAAGACAGTGGGAGTTTTGTCACTGACTTTCCTAGGAGAATTTCATCCACCGTATTTCAGTTTTATTAGAATTGCATGAACTCAAGGGTTAAGTTGTTTTTTACTTTTTCCTTCCTAGTTCTTAATGAGAGATGGATCTGAAAAGAAAAGCTTCCATTAACACCAGATTTTTTTCCCCAAAGAACGCAGGAATGATTCAGAGGTGCAGTCTGCCAGCGTCAAAGACGGGAATCAGGCTTCTGATTTCAATTCTGGATGTTCAATTTCATATATATTGTACAGCATGTACTGCTTTTTCATTCTTTGTACTTCCAGATGGGCCTCAGAAATGTACAGTTTTAGAATAATTTTTTTTTTTTTTTTAAGATATAGAGGGGAAAAAAAACATTCCACCAAAGTTATAAAGCCTTAGGTGTTTGGAGATCTCTATACCAAGCTTGGTGAAAATTCAGATTGTTCTTTAAAATCCAGCTCAACCTGCATATTCAGCTTTGGCCTATTAGCTCACACTGGAATAGGGGCACTACTGTAAATAGGATAAAAGAATCTCTTATCCATATACTCGATACATATCTCTCTTCTAAAGGTTAATATAACAATGCCTTATAAAACGCAAGTGTCATGTCAGTAACATCAGAAAAGCTATTTTTATAGCAGTATTTCCAGCATGTTCACAGAGTCTGATACTGTCACGTACATGGGAATAATTGAGAATGAGTGGGGAAAAAAGGAGAAGCCCTCCTATCCTGTTTCTTTCAGCAGAGAAATTATAAATTAGTAGCCATCTACTTTCTCAATTTTCTTTTATTATTAATAAGAGAGAGCTATTTTAAGGAGTCTTCTTTGACCGAGCTCCTCAGTCTAGAAAATGCCCATTTGCTTGTCTATTAGAAATAGCACATTTTTAGGCTAGCCTAATTTATCTGTATTATCTGCTTGTACGTGTTATTTGCCAATAATAATTCAGCTTTTTAATACAGAAAACAATTGGCTTTGCCCTTGAAGTATCTAGTTACTAATTCAACCTGGAAAAGTAACAGAATTACCAAGCAGATTTAATGCATTTTCAATACTGGGAGCCCCATTCTACCCAGAGTTAGTAGGTGCTCAGCAAGTAGTCATGGTGGGAGAGCTATACTGATACATATTGATGTTTTGCTTGTAGCTACTTCCCTTATAGACCCTTTATGCTACTCAGTTTAATTGCAAGCTGTATGCTGCTATATGCTGTAATGTTTATAACGCCACATAGTTCAATTGTATTTGGAACAGAAGCTCAGATTTGAAAAGGCAGCTGTAAGTCAGGTACCAAGTCAATAATTTGTGCCAAACTATTTTTGGAACTAAAATAATAACAAAAATTACCCTTCTCTAGCCCTCATAGATGGTATTTGATACAGAACGTATCATACATATTTGCCATTATGTAGAATTACACTCTTCCACCTCTCAGGAAAACCCTGTGACAGAGAAGTAAAAATCTCTCTTTGAGCAGCTGTAATGGTAATAAGATTTTTAATTTGTATGGTCTTGACGAGCTTTGGGAACAATCATTTTTCCTAGACATGGTTAGAAACAACACTTTTCTTTGCTTCTTCATGGAATAATTCTTACCTGCAATGTTACTGGGGCTGCAATATCAGTACTGCAGATGCCTGGGGCAATCATTGTTGTTGGAAACATGCTGTATAGTGTCATGCTAAGCAGCACAGTTCCATGAATGAATCGCCTGCCAACAACAGTGCCAACAAACACAGAGAGAAATGCTGTGTCAGTACTGGAGACAAGGTGAACAGGGACTACTGAAATTATATCCAAAAAAAAAAAAAAAAAAAAAAAAGGAAGTGGGATGGCTTAAGAGATAAGTGACAGGAGATCAAGCTTTTTATCTTAATATGGCCAGTACAAACCTGGCCTATATCACCAGTAGTTGCACACTGATGGCCTGTGTTGCTGTGGTAGCATCTGTTCTTTTCCAAGGATTATGATGTGAGTCAAGGAGCCAATAAATTCCAGATCAGCTCTGGCTTTAGATTCATGCCAGTGGCATGAAGGTCTGGTTCATTGTTCATTACTCACTTTATTAATGTTTTCTACAAAATTAGTGAGTTGAAGCAAGAAAATTGATTAGTTTCTTCCTTTTTTTTGTGAAATAGGAAATGGTCTCTCAAAGTCCTACTGTCGCTTCTCAGTTGCCTCAACTAACTAACAGTATTATCCATTCAGAATCATCCGACAGTTTAAATCCTGCCGCTTTCTAAATAGTTAACCATGAGAGCTAGTTTACTCTAGTAAAAAGATATTTATGAGTTTCAAAGGAGATAGAAAAGCAGACCAGGTAAATGTTCAGATATCTAAGTTTTACAGTTCAGAAGGAATTTCAGGAGTACCCTTATTTTTTCAATCAGTCTATCAATTCAAATCATGGTGAATCAATAATTTTGTGAAGCTGTGGCTGGCTGAAAGAGGAAAAAAGTATTTAGGCTTCTTTGCGTTAGTAATTCCTGTAACTGTTAATGACACAGCTAATATTAGGGCATACTGCACTTATTATTCTTAAATCACTCCTCCTCAAACACTTCAACTTTTATTTCTGCTTTGAAGGTCACTTCAGCAATGATGTCTACAATTACACAACAGATGAAAGGAAAGTAACCTTGTATTCCCTTGTATTGTGCTGACTGTGCATGCCATGAAAGGAAGGAGCTGGTTTTCAGTAAAATTTTCAAAATTGCCTAGATGACTTGGGGATCTACTTATCAAAAATCAGTATGCTTACTCTCAAGGCATAGATTAAAAATAAATCACAGTAAGCTAAGGGGTTTCAAATCTTCCAAAAATCTGCTTTAGGACTTGAATGCTGAGAAGAAAACTCTAGTGCAACACAGGTCCTCGAGAAAAGGATGCTCAGGTAGCCCATTTACCTCCAAAGGTGCCTATGCGTTCTCCAGTTAAGTTCACAGGCCTAATGCTCAGCTTCTGCATGTACCTAGCACACATCACCTTCCTGGGGCTGAGCCCATTCTAACACTTTGGTTCAAATTAGATTCTCAGCCAAGATATCTTCTCTACCTATTTCACCCTAAGCATGAGAAAGAAATATTCAAAATACGCATAATGTATGGGTGTTTTTAAAAAAACACACACAGTGGAAGAGTGAGCGCTGTGCTCTCCTACAAACTAGCCTAACAAAAGAGTAAGAAAAAGTCATTGAATAAAATGCCTAAGCATTCCTTGGAGCAGAGACTTGTTTGGATTCATGTTTTCCTTCCTTCCTTCCTTCCTTCCTTCAACTAACTGCTCTAATCACTAAGCCACAGAAGCACCCTTTCTTGCTCTGGACAAATGGATCTTGAATTCTCTTCTGAAAAGACAGAAAAAGCCTCTGGTTCAGCACAACCTATAGGCTAGTGTTTTAAGCCTCTCAGGCTGAAAATTCAATGGAACCTAGTGTCTTTCATAAATAGTAAACAAATCTATGCAATAAGGGCTTTTTTTTTTTTAAAAAAAACAGAGGATGCCTCCATATACAGAAGCAGATGAGGAAGTCTTAAGATGACAAAAGTGCTACAGCTGAGAAATGGATGCTTATGCAGAAACTCATGAGGCTTGAGCATATCTCTCTATTGCCCAACTTAGGCAGCTGTGCACTTTGCAATACAGCTGTTACGAATCTTATTCTGAGGCATACAGGGGTATGGAGTCAACATAAAAATTAAGTATTATTTTAACGGCTTGATCAAAACTTTAGATGTCTTAGTATTTCTAAAATATATTTAAGGTACTGTGGAAAATTTACCTTTGCTTACATTACACTGCACAGACACTCAAGTCTGCAAGCATCTTTAAAGCCCTGTTAAACTGAGTGCTGTGTGGAGAAGAAGAAGTTAAAAAAGATGAGAAAGTTTCTAAAGTGCTCTGTAGAGGGAAAGGTGCTCACTGAGGTCATCACTAGCAGTTCCACTTTTGACAGAATGAATGAATGTGAGAGAGGAAACCAGATTCAGAAAACTAAAAACTGTGAACAAGCAGCAAAATGTAGAAGGATATTGGAGAGCTGCAAGAAAGGGTACAGGAAGGCCCTTCAACTGGCCTGAGGAGCTCCACTGTAAGTTAAACAATTATGGAAGCCAAATCCAAAACCAATGTATTTGGAAGAACTCTTTGCAGAAAGAAAAGTTCACGCATGGGGCTATTACAGGCACATCAGATGCAGTTTACTGTAAGTTACTGTCTCACTCCTATTACAGTAAGGGTCTCAAATGAGTATTTCTGCGCTTTTATATTCCTCCCAAGCTGAGTGCAATACTATTCAAAAATGCTCTTTTCTTTCAGCTATCACACAAAATTGAACTTACCGCTTTGGATACAATGGGCAGCATGTCCAAGCAAGCACTTCTGTATTTTTAGACGCACTGTTTACTCCAAGTAGTTTTATTTTA